TCGGCTAAACTGCCACATTCCACGCTGACCTGTCAAATCTTTGACGCAAACGACCCGGGCAGGTTACATAAAAAAGCCGGGCCCATCATGGACCCGGCTTGATTGTACTATTGATATACGCAAAACCGAAAGCAAAAACAAGAGGAATAGATAGCAGTGTCTTCGTCGCCCTCCGCCCTCGCCCTTCTTTGCGCGAGGTTACGAGAAATAAGAGGAATGTATTGAATAGCGGTGTCTTCGTCGCCCTCCGCCCTCGCCCTCCGCCCTTTTATAGCCTGCGTGTTCCATTCACCTAATTCACCTGGTACACCTTCACCACACCATCACCCTCGCAAGTCACCACCAGCATGCTTTTTCCCGTGGGGCTATACTTCGCAGGGACGAAAAGCAATCCCTCGGGCGCATCACCCGTCACCAGCGTTTTTACAAATACAGGATGCGTCGGGTCGGTTACATCATATACCGCCACAAGGTCGGCTCTTTCCATACCCACAAAGGCGATCACGCGGTTGCCAACATACCCGAGTGTCATGCCTTCCGGTTCTACGCCTTTATCATCACTGCGGTTGTCATCATATTTTGATGCCGCGATCGCTTTTTTCTCGAGTTCATTGCCGCTGTCGAATAGGATACTTCCATTGTTGCCGTTCCACACGCTGAATGAACGGGCACCGAAGGAATACAATTGGTCAAAATCACCATCGTTATCGGTATCGCCCAAGGTATTGGTGATATTCAGGCGACCAAGATTAGCGTCGGTACGCAGCGTAGCAAAGTCAGGAAAGGCAACAGGATCCAGCGTGATATCCTTGATTCGTTTGTTTTCCGCATAGGCTGACCATTCGCGTACATCGCCTTCATTCGCAGTAAAAAGATAGGGCTTGCCCCATTTCTCATATACCGCGATGGCATCGGGTTGGTACATACCCTTTACATTAACCTGCCTGGCCAACACTGCATTGTCTTTGTCACTGGGGTCGATCGCGTTTTCCGCTTTACTGTAATCCTTGAAACCGAGCGGAAAAATGTTAGTGATGCGTTTGGATGGAATATCGACTTTCGCGATGGCGTTATTTTCCTGGAGTGTCACCCATGCAGTACGTGAATCGGAGGAAACCGTGATATATTCCGGTTCTATATTCGTCGTAAAGTTTGCTGCCGGTCCGAATACACGAAATCCTTTTGCCTG